TCTAACAATAATTCTATTTTCTCTATCTGTGAATCTGGGCTTTGTTTTGTTTTCTAGATTCCACATATAAGTGAAATCATGCAGTTTTTGTCTTTCTCTGTAAAAGATATTTTTTCCTATTTGAATCTTTTTAAAAGAAGACTGAGTATTGATAACCAACAGCAGCAATGTAGTGTGGGTTTATAATCTATGTGCAAGAAAAATGCTTGATATTCTAGCACAAAGGTCAGGAGGAGGGGCATGGAAGCACACTGTTGTAGCATTCTTATACTACGTGAACAGTTAAAGATACAGATTGTGAACCTTAAAGCAACCACTAAAATAACACAGCAAAGTACAGATAGGTAAGACATCAACAAAGGAGACAAATGAAATTATAGACGATATTTACTTAAGGCAGTAAAATAGGGGGGAAAAAACATGTGGGATAGATAGAAAATAATAGCAAGGTGGCAGATTTAATCCTAATCAGATCAATAACATTAAATGTAATCAAAGGCAGAAATTTCAGATGGAATAAAAATGCAAGAGCCAATTATATGCTGCCAGTAAGAAGCCTACTTAAATATAAAGAGACAGACAGGTGCAAAGGAGACATATGGAAAGTGATATACCATGCTGGAACTAACAGGAAGCTGGGGCGGCACTACTAATATGGAAGAAAGTCAATTTTAGGGAATGATATCAGGGATAAAGAGGGTCATTTCATAATGACAAAGTAGCAATACATTAAATTGATAAATAATCTTACGTGTTGATGTACCTAATAGCAGAGCTTCAAAATACATGAAGCAAACAATGACAGAACTGAAAGAAGAAACAAGTCCACAGTTATACCGAGATCTCCACAGCCTTCTCTCAGTTACTGATAGAACTTGTGGACAGAAAGTCAGTAAGGATATAGACAACTCAATGCTACCAGCCAACTTGACCTGGGACATTTGTGGAATCCTCCACAAGGAACAGAAGAACAGACATTCTTTTTAAGTACATATGAGATGTTTACCAAGACAGCCCTTGTTGTTGGTCATAAAATAAGTCTCAATAAATTTAAAAGGACTGAAGTCATTCAAAGTATGTTTTCCAACCATGATGTAATTAGAAATAATTACTTTCCAGATCTCTGGAAAATCTCAAACATTTGTAAACTAAACAACACACCTCTAAGTAATCATGGGTAAAAGAAGAAATAAAAAAGGAAAATTTGAAAATATTTAAAACTCAATGAAGCTAAAAATCCAAGACCAAAACTGGTGGGTTATAGCTAAAGCAGTGTATAGAGGGACATTTACTGTACTAAACACACACATTTGAAATGAAGAAAAACTTCAAACTAATGACATCAGCCAATCAAACCCAGTGTAAGCAGAAGAAAAGTAATAATAATGATGAGTAGAAATCAGTTGCATATCCTTCTGCAAAGAAATAAATTCAAGTCATACCTCACACTATATACGAAATTAACTCAAATGGGTCATAGACTTAAATATAAAACCTGTAACTCTCAATTTTTCAGAAAAAATGTAGAAGATAATCTTGTGACCTTTGGTTATACAAAGATTTTTTTAGATAACACAAAATACATGGTCCATAAAAAAAATTATTAATGAGACTTCATGAAAATTAAGAACATCTATTCTTCAAAAGATACTGTTAGGAGAATGCAAAACAAGCCACAGATTGTGTGTGTGTGGGGAGGGAATTGCAAATCACATAGCTGAAAAGTGGAATCCAGAATATGTAAACACTCCTAAAATTCAATGTAAAAACAAAAAACAATTAAAATGGAAAAAGGTTTGAAGAGATATTTTATCAGAGAGTATACACAGATGTCAAATAAACAGAAAAAGATGATCAACACCATAACATCATTAATTATGGAGGAAATGCAAATTAAAACCATAACAATACACCGCTGTGTCACTGTGCTTAGTTACAATGCCTAAAATTAAACAGACTGATCATACCAACTGTTGGCAAGGATGTCGAGAACCCAGGGCTCTCACATACTACTTATGGGAACATAAAATGGTACAACCACTTTGGTAAATAGTTTGGAAAACATTTAAACATTTTAAAGAAAGTGAAGCACACAGCTACCATATGACTCAGGCAATCTACTCCCAGGTGTTACCGAGAGAAATGAAAGCAGGTGGCCACGCCAAGACAGGTGCAGATGTGCATGGCAGCTTTATTTATAATAGCCAAATTCTCAGGAAACCCCCTAAATGCCTCCAAAGGTGATGGATCTCAAAATAATCATGCTGAGTAAAAGAAGCCAGATAAAGGTAGAGTAGATATTATATGATTCCCTTTTTTAATAAAACTTTAGAAAATTCAAACTAAGCTAGTGTCAGGGAGGGACTGGGGTAGGGCGCAGAGGAGCAGGCGGGTAGGATTACAAAGAGCATGGGGACACGTTAGGGGTGGGATCTGTCTGCTATCTTGACAGTGGTGAGGGCTTCACAGGTGTATACCTATGTCAAAACTTTAACTCTGTGTAGTTTAATATTTGTGAATTATACCACAATAGAGACATTCCAAAACTGCAGCACCACAAGTTTTCTTCTGTTTAGTATTTCTTGGTATAAATATCGCAGTTCTTTTACTTTCAACTTTTTATTACTCCTTTATCTTAGGTGTACATTTTGTGAACACTCTAAAGCTAGATTTTACTGCATACAATATGCACTTACTACATACTTATTGACTATTCGATAAACAGATCCAGGCTGGTCATCTGGATCTCTGATTTGGTCTAGAATTGTGTTCAGGCTCATTTATTCTGACATTTCTGAGCTCATTTCTAGCATCTTACTCTTTCCATTTCCCCA